TGAATTTGTCGTGATATGTTTGGAAGCCTTCCGACTGCAGACAGAGAATACTAGCCATTGCAAGCCTTAAAAATAGTCTGCCACTTTGAACCATGCTCTCCCTCGCCAGCCGTGGGAAACGCAACTTGGAAGATGTGTTTTCGCAGGATGTCATTCAGCCTTCGAAGCGGGTCTGCCGGCCTGGCCAGCTGCAGACTTCAAGAAAAGCTAAAGAAACATCCAAGCCCACGGTCACTGTGTCTGTGCCAAAAGCCAAGTCCAGACCAGCAGCAGGCTCAGGAAAATCTAAGCCCAGAACAGCCCGGGGTCGCAGCTCGTCGTTGTCAGTTACGAAGTCCACTCGCAAGTCGACCACCTCCTTGCGGACAAGGAAGATCAAGAAAAAGAAAGTAGGGGATGTCTTCTGCAGATTGGATGTCAATGGTGCACCCGTCGTGGATGCAAAGAGGCATGCTGCAGGGCACCCGAACCCATACGATCACCAAGACACATGCGCGAGATGCCGTTTCCTGGCGCGAAAACATTTATGGCGGGAGCTTGGCTCGTGCCGGTTGCCTGGACAGTCAGAGCAACTGAAGCTGACTTGGCTGACAGAACGTCCCAGTCACCTCGGTGGAGCGTGGGGTATCGGATGCGCTGCTTGCGCCAATCTCCTTTCCAGGCTCGGGGGGGACACCAAGGGCATGAGGCTGCGTGTTGGGACGAAGTGGGCCACATATAGTGTGCGAACGTGGAGCAATATGCAGGCAGAGAGTATCAAGATTCTGGGTTTCGTCAGTATTGGCTGCGGGCGCAAATAAATAACTTTCATTTTTCGGAATTGTTTGCTACCCCTGGAGAACGTGAATCCAGGAAACATTCCCGTTCTGAAATTCACAAAGCTGCGCTGCGCTGCTGGCAGAACCCAGGGCTGCCCAAGGCTATCTTTGCAGCCTGCAGGGACTCGCGCTGCTAGACCTCATAGCCAGGTTTGTGGCACGCATTTTTAAAGCTTAGGCTGTAGTCCTCAGGGTTGCAGCCGTTTGGGGTCATGAAGATTACAAAGGTGCCTGGTGTTTTCCGTGTCCCGACATTTTGTAAGGAGAGGTCTTCGCAGGATCGGTTCCGCAGGTGGATGATTATTTGCGCGTGTGGCGGGCTCTGAAGTCTGGAAACTCTTTCCGCGAGACTCAGAATGTCACCTTCACTGAGTCCTTCATTAGCAGCCAACGCGAGCAAGCGAGCGCTGTGACAAGACGCGCAGCTGTTCAAATTATGCAAGTGATGCAGGAACAAGTGCGGCGCAAAAAATTGTCAACATTGATGAGGGCTTCCTCCGGCAACTGTGGTCTTCGACGACAAGGGCGAGCACAGTCTCTTGGCTGCCTATTCTTATTGGGTGGCTATTCTTATTGTGGTTCGGCTTTAAAGCTATCTTAAACAATTTCAAGAGTCAGCACACAACGAAATGTTCAGGAGTCATTCGGTATTTCAGCAATTTAGCTCAAGAGCCTGCTGGTGCTGGCATCATTGCTGTGATCCGTTATGGCGGGCGCGCTTCGCAGGCTTCTATCGAGGAGTTTGGGGAAGACTATTGCAAGAGAGTTGCAGAATCCATCATGGAGTCATTACAGCGGTTTTGCACCCCGGTTGGCCAGAACATGGATGCAGCTGCATACAGCCACTTGCAAGAGATCATACGCTGCTTCACTTCAGACGGCTGTCCAGCTGCCTTGAAGGCTGGTCGTTTCTTGGCGCAGCAGCTGCCGAATCTCACTGTCATTCACCGTGACACAAGTCATGCAATTCGGCTGCTCGGATTTTACTAATTATTAATGTCAAGTCTGTCAAAACACGCCTCTACATTGCATTTTCACGGTGAAACTTGCCAGGTTGGCAGCGCAAAAGCCACTTCTGTCGGAGGACGCCTGGGCTGATGTGCAGCAGACTCTTTTTGGGCGACACGGCGTCATTCCTGACCTGCAGAACAGCAGCGAGTGGCAGGCGCGCTTCCTTGCGGTGCAGCAAGACATGCCAGAATCCAGCCTGCTGGCCAAAGCTGTGAAGCATATGTCCTTCGCCAAGCAACGGTGGAATTCCGAAGATGAGCCGCGTCGAAGGTTCTGCGCAATGCTGCTTCCAGTGTCAGTGTTATTGGCAATTCAAGCTGAGGACTCGCGTCAGTCACTTGCTTTTCGCAGCCGTTGCCGAGCAGCCCTTCAGAAGCTGGTTCCGAAATTCCTTATCAACTTGGGGTTGAGTTCGGATTACTCCAACAAAATGATGAGATATTTGCGGCTGTATGACTCTGACGTGCACGATGCTGCCAAAACTCTGCGGGAGAAGGCGGAGTTTGCCAACAGGACTTTGGGAACGACTTAATAACAATGTTTAAGTTCCAACCGTCAGGAGGGAATACGCAATCAGCCCAAAAGCCTGAAGCCCAAAGAACAGCGCGATCATGCTGTTCCATATGACCAGAAAATACGCCCTCTAGCAATCATTGTCTGAAAGCGGGGGGGCATCCTGCAGCCAGTAGACTGTCCGGTGATGGACCTGGAGGTTTTCACATTGAGATTCACTAGTCGTCATTCCATTTAGCAGAAATTAATGTAAGTACAGGAAGGAATCTAAACAAGACTCGCAGCATCAGTTCCAGGATGACCACCCTCTTCCTCAAGCTGCATATCCTTGACAGCACCGCAGAGGAAGATAGCAAAACGATGACACAGGTTGTCCTTCAACAAGCAATGGCATCACCAGTCATCCAGTATGGCCCGCGTGTGCACTACCTTTGGACTTCCACATCCAAGAACGAGGTGAAAGACTGCTGCTTGAGCTTGTTTGCGGTCGTGCAAACAGCCCTGAGCCGGGTCAGCTCCAAGCTTCAAGGTTTGCAATTTGCTTGCAGCATTTGACTTGTATTCCTTGCACGAGGCTGTGCTGCAGGGCGACTTTCGGAATTATGAGATCCTCACCAACACCCGCCTTCGACGTTTGTTGAAGCAGGGCCTCAGGAACGCAGAGCCAGAGGCCATGATTCGTACGTTTTGGGGAGCCGCCTTTGGTGGAGGTTCACAAGGCAGAGTTGTCTGGAAATCCAGATTTCGATAATCGCGCGGCATGGTCTGCCATTGTCAGCTCGCCCTGTCCATTGGCCAGCCTGGTCAATTTTTACCTTGGATTTTTGGACGGATCCAATGTTTGTGAGCGTTCGCTGGGCAGAATGTCGAAGCTGAAGCAACAACACCTTGGTCCCCTGGAGGAGGACGGGATAACAATCTCAATGCTTCTTGAACTCTACGAAGATGGACCACAGTCTGGGACTGGGCTCGCTACTCGGAACGTGTGCTCTGATGTTTTTGATCGGGACCATGTTTTCTTGGAGCCGACTGACTTCCTCATTGATTGTGGGCAGCTGTGGAGACAGAAGTTTGGATCCAGATTCAAATTGTACAAAACTCGCAGCGACATTGGCAAGTCGCGCGCAAAGCAATCGGGGAGCCTGGTTTCTTTGCGCAGGGCGCAGGCTTCTGCTGCAGATACTCTGGCTGCGAAAGCTAGCAATAAAAGTGGCGAGGATACGACAATCTTTGATGGTCTGAAGCGCAAGCACCTACCCGACACAGTGTCACTGGAGCAGAACCCGAAATTCAATGACAAGCTGAAGGATCTGCGGGCCATGGACCAGCGTAGGCAGCAGCGGCATCAAGTCCTGGCCCAAAGACGGAAGCAGCTTCCGCGCGGAAGCCCTTTCCAGGTGGGCCAGGTGCGGAGAGCAAAACTCGTGAGCGATGTGGGCAGCAATGACACTGGCAGGGCATATTATGCTTCAAGATCGACCCTACGTGTGGTTGATATCCTGCCGCAGCCAGTGCAACTCTCGAAGAAACACGGCTCGCAGACCCTGGATGTGTGGCGACCGGCGTCTTCTTCCTCACTTAAGGATGCTCTTGCCAAAGTCAAACAATGTCATTTGCTGCTAGTGGAGAAGGACTCCCGTCTCCACACGTCGCCTCGTGCCACAGTGTTCCTCGCCAATATGTGTCATGGTAATTTAATGCATTACTTAATGCGGGGGCAGTCGATTGGGCAATCTGCTGCCATCCCATGTAGGGCATATTCCGCTCAGCTGAGGCCGTTGTTCGAACAGATCGTGTTTGCTTCATTGGCCTTGGGCAAGGCAACCATTGACATGGCAGCGTGGGCAAAATCCGCACCTGCGTGTTTGCACAAGGCCTCCTACATGACCGCCGCCTGCCATATCATGGTCACTGCTGACTTCGAAGAAAAGCACAAGGCCACAACGAGGATGATCAATGACATTTGCTCTACGATCCTGGTCTTTGATTCAGGGTCCATTCTGCCATTAGTTCCCGCTACAAGTGTCTAACCCAGTTCCTCATTGTCATAATTATACAGATGTTCTTTTCAGAAAAGTACAAGTCAGGAAAGACAGCAAGTGGGATCGGGAGCGTCAAAAAAAAGGTGCTGGCAAGGTGCGCATCGATTCAATAAGTGACTTGTTTGATGCCGCGCGAAAGTTGCGCAGGCTACAACGGGGTCCCGGCGTGCAACATGCATGCCTGAAGAC